GAGGCTGAGGCAGGAAAATTGCTTGAACCCGGGAGGCAGAGGTTGCAGTGGGTCGAGATCACTGCCACTGCACTCCAGCCTGGGCGACAGAGCAAGACTCCATCTCAAAAAATAGAATAAAATAAGCAAACAGAGGGGAGCAGAAAGGGTCCTGTGAAAACTCAGTTAAATAGCACAGCTCTAGATACTTGATTATTTTTTTAAGGAAGAAAAAGAGTGAGACACTGTCCTGTAAAATCATCAAAGCCCTGGCTTTCCGTGGAAATATGGCACAAGCAGGCCTAACCGTGCTGCGTATTGTTTCTGAGGACTGCCTCCGAGTTCATGTCTCTAAGCATTTTATTGAATACAACTATTTCTCTGAAAAGCAACAAGCAAACGTGTTAATCGTACAGCAAAATCATGGCATCGTGAGACAAAAAAGGAATGACAGAGGGAGCATCAAAGAGCGTTGCTTGTACACCAAACATGAAAGCCAAATTTATTTAATTCAGTTTTTATTTATTTTCTAAACTGAGCTGAGTAATCAGGGAATAGAATGCGGTTCATTTAAAACTTTCATTATTTCAAATATGTTGAACCACTGCCAATCACTCCTAGATCAACAGGAAACTTCTTACCTGATGAGTTGCCTGGGTTTTTTTGTTTTGTTTTGTTTTGCTTTTTCCATCCCCATGATTGTTCCAACTGAAGGAGAAAAGATGTAATAAACCTTTACCAGGCACCCTCTGCGTCCAGGCACTCTACTCCGCCCTGTGGGTGCAGAGCAGACAACCCTGGCCTTGGGCATGAAAAACACTGTGCACCGAGAAGCCCAGCCCCTGGAATCCAGCGTGCTGTGCTACGTTCCAGCTCTGCCTCTTCTTAACTGGGCCACTTTTGACAAGTTGCTAAGCCTCTCTGATTCTTGGTTACCTCAACTTTAAAACAAGGACAATACCCACTTCATCAGATTGTCGTGAATCACAAAAATAAATGTAGTGATGCTCCTAAGGGGTTTAGCACCAAGCTGGGCCCAAGGAAGCATTCTGTGTGTCTAATGACCAACTTTTACCTGTCCTGACACCAAGGAGCTTAGAGTTTGGTGGAGATGGCAGAGCCATCAGGGCCCGTGTTAGGCTACCAAAAGCATTTTTACCAGTGCATGTGCCTCGCACAGACCTACTGAGGTGATTAATTCTACCGGGAAAGTCATACCGGGTGAACGAGAGGAGATGTATGAGTGGGGTCTTGAAACACAGTAGAAGTTTGCCAGGTGGAAGCATAAACGACTCTTTAAACGAAAGGCTGGTGTTTTTAAAGCAGTTCATTCTCGTGAGTAATTCTTCGCTTCTGTTTTCACAAAATAGTGAAAGGATCATTGCAGCAGCAAGGGCGTGTGGAAGCCCATGTTCGCCTCATCCGTTCTCCCCATCTGTCCCCTGTCACAGTTGCAGCTTCAAAGCATTGTTCCCCGAGGCTCTGCTGAGTTGGATGTTTCTGAAACATTCTGGGGGACAGTGTGAGTCACACCAGGGAGGACACACGAGGCCATGACCCCAGTGAGCCACTAACATACCCACAGTCTGACTCTGCAACAGCTCCCCCGCAAGTGCCCTGCACGAGACCAAGCCCTTTGTGTCAGCCTCAGTTTGCCCTCACAGCTACCCCACAATACCACTGGGACTGTCCCCAAGTCACAGAGGAGGAAGCGGAAACACAGAGAAGTAGCTTGCTAAGCTCAAAGTTAGAACCCGGGTCCTTTCCTCTCCAAAGTCCATGACTGTAACGGCCATGTGATGATGGTGATGTGAACGGCTGGGCAGAGGCAGCACAGAGGGTGACAGCAGACCTTGGCTCCAGAGAGCCAGCCTCCAAATCCCAACCATGCCCCATACTAGCCAATGACCTTGGCAAAGTTCACATATCTCTAGGCCTCTCAGTTCCTCATCTGTAAAAGGGGAGGAATAATATCAACCTCCCAGTGCTGGTGTGAGGGCTAAAGGCGTAGATGCTGGAAGCTCCTGGAGCAGTTGCCCAGCCGGTGCAAATGTAAGGCTCCATGCTGCTGCAGCTGTGTTACTATTAATATTAAATGGAGGCTGCACCCTGAGGCTGTTTTAGGAAAGACCAGACCAGACGTCTTCCAGGAAGCATCAGCAGGAGCCTCTCCTGGCGTCCTTCTGCAGTTGGGGGGTCTGGTACATCCACTTTCCAGGACAAAAACTTGATTTGATTCTTGGGTCAATTCACATGACCCCAACCCAAAAAGGATTGATACCAAACCAGAGTGCCTCCGTGTGAATTAAATTTACAACAGCGCTGCATCAGAGCATCTGGCAATGCCGACTGGAAGCCCAAAGACCTCCAGATGGTTGGTGCTGAGACTCCAGGAGAGGCTGGGAGCACTCAGAGGGGCTCTGGATGGTGACCAGGCAAGGGTGGTAGGTGAACTGCTGTCTGTGCTGGGGCACTGTGAGGCTTGTGGTGACTGCACAGATGCCCATTCCCTTTGTCAGCCAGCAATTTCTTATTCCCTGGCTCCCCTTCTCAACAACCCAAGTTGACCATCCCTTCTTCAGTGACCACAGCCTCTCCCAGGTAGCAATTCCATTGCTGCCTCCAAGATGACCTTTAAGTCATGGACAAGGGCAGTTCTTCTTCTCCTTGGCCACACAGGAGGCAGCCCCCTTGCTTCCACCTACATCTGAATAATCCCACCTACCACACTTCGATTAAACCTAACTGTATCCTCAGAGGCCACCTTTTCTCAGAATTCAGTATCTTTTTCAAAGTAAGATCCTTCAGATGAAACATACCTGGTGACCACCCACCCTGAGTCACTAAGTTAGCTGGGAAGCAGTTTTGAGTGTGGGTTCAGGGTCGCAGCTCTGAGGTCAGACCACCTGGGCCCACATCCTGATTCTACGACTTGAGTAGCTGTTGGTTTGTGTCTCAGAGTCCTCATCTGTAAGAGGGGATATTATGCCTACTATAATAAATCAGTAATGCCACGGTAACAAATTATTGCAGACATGGAGGCTAGAAATTTATTCTCCCACAGTTCTGGAGGCCAGAAGTCCAAAATCAGTCTCACTGAGTCAAAACCAAGGTGTTGGTAGGGCCATGCTCCATCTGGAGGTCTAGGGGAGGATCCTTCCTGCCACTCCCCACTTCTGGTGGCTGCAGCATTCCTTGGTTTGTGGCCGCATCACTCCAATCTCTGCCTCCGCAGTCTTCTCCTTTTCTGTGTCTCACATCTCCCTCTGCCTCCCCCTGAGGACACTTGTGATTGCACTTAGCACCTCCCAAACACCCCCAGAGAACCCAAAACGATCTCATCTCAAAATCCTTAGCTCTGCAGAGTCTTTGCTCTATAAGGTAACATTCCCAAGTTCCAGGATTAGGAGGTAGATATCTTTTTCCCTGTGAAGAGTTGAGAATCATTTGCTCCAAGCCCTTCAGTTGAAGATTTTCAATCCTGTTGATTAAATCAGGTTTTAAACATCCTTAGACCCAAACCTGGCCATACAAGGCAGAGAAAATAAACTTCATGCATCTTTACCAAACCAAGGAGCTATCAGTTCCCATGTCTCTTCCTGGGGATATACTTCAAAGATCAGTAGGAAATGGCAGAAAAGCGCCAACAGCATCTTTCTGGCTTAGGTCTGCAAGTGGCACGTTATCCAAGCCACCCAATTCAAAGAAAGCTGAATCATGCCCAATTTGAGTCTCCCTGATAGGTAAGACTATTATTTCTTACTCTGTGCATCTCTGTATTGTTTAAACTTCAAAAGAGCAACCTCAAAACAAGTAACATTTTTAAATCTTGGATGGCTTCCCATTATCCAAAGTTCAAACCCCTTAAAACAATAGTTCAGGCTCTCCGTAATCTTGTCTAATCTGTTTCTCAAAACTCATTAACTTTTAGTTCCCTTAAAGAAGCTATTTCAAACACAACCCTCTACTTTCTAGTCCCTAAATATTCATTTACCCAGCAAATATTCATTGAGTGTCACATATGTGCTAAGCAGTGTTCAAGCAGCTGGTGTCACAGCAGTGAACAAATTTCTTGCCCTCATGTAACCTACATCGTAATGAATGTGTCTGTTCCATGTGAATATAGTTTGGCTGCATCCCCACCCAAATCTCATCTTGCATTCCCACGTATTATGGGAGGGACCCTGTGGGAGGTAATTGAATCGTAGGGGCAGGTCTTTCCCATGCTGTTCTCGTGACAGTGAAGAAGTCCCAGGAGATGTGATGGTTTTATAAGGGGAAACCCATTTTGCTTGGTTTCATTCTCTCTCGTCTGCCACCATGTAAGACGTGCCTTTCACCTTCCACTATGATTGTAAGACCTCCTCAGCCACATGGAACTGTGACTCTATTAAAACTCTTTCTCTTGTAAATCACCCAGTCTTGAGTATGTCCTTATCACAGTGTGAAGATGGACTGATACAATTTGTTAACTCATATTCTCTTTTCCTGGTTTTTCTGTCCTCTCCATCTCTGATGACATCCTATCTATTCCTCCTGTCTTGGTTTGGATGCAGCATTCCCTGTGAGGTGCCCAATATTGCTCTGGATCAGAGGTAGTGAGTTCTTCCTCCAAGCATTGATGTGCCCTGCTTGTACCTTCACAACAGCAATTCTCCCACTAGTCCACAGACAAGATGTATCCCAGGAGTGAAAGATACAAGACTGGACGTGGACTCAAGATTTGGACTGTGAACTCTGCTTTGCCTCTGTGAGAGCTGGGCAGATGGCAACAGCATCTTCCTCCTAGGAGTGTCAAGAGGAATAAAGGAGGCACACACACAAAGTGCTTAACACAAAGTAAACCCAGAGTCAGTGGCCTCATGACTTTGTGAATGAGCATCTGTAACAGAAATGACGGTTTTGGGTTTTTGTTACCTATAATCCAGCACCTAGCATAGGAGCTCATGCCCTGCACTCTATAAATGTTTCTTGAATCTACTTTGAATGCAGAGTGTGACATTGTTGGGATTTGTTTCCAGGTATTCTGTTTACAAGGACCCAGCAGGTTGGCTGAATATTAACCCCATCAATGGGACTGTTGACACCACAGCTGTACTGGACCGTGAGTCCCCATTTGTCGACAACAGCGTGTACACTGCTCTCTTCCTGGCAATTGACAGTGGTGAGTACTTGACAAAGACCATCAAGAGTATACTTTTCTACTACAAATATACTTTTACATTTTTAAATTTCTTCTGATACACCCAGGGGTGTTCTTGGGAAGAATATAAGTGTGTGGTAACAGCGAAGTAAATGTTTAAATATACATATATTGAGTTCAGTAATATCTCCACGTCCCAGAATCCTCGGATCTTTTTGGAAAGCAAGTAATGTCTGGTGAGAGGTCAGAGCAGTGAACTCACCCTGTCCCATCTTGGGCAGGCGTGGAGGTTAGAAAGCCACGCTGATGTGCTTTGTCTTGGTGTCATGCTCTCATTTACAAAGAGGCTCTTGGACTTAATGCAAGTTGAAAGAAAGTCCCAGAGGATATCACTGACCCTGACAATTGAATTGTTCCAGTGGCTTTTATCCTATTATGATGCGCTGTCAAGGAAAGGCAGCAGGTACAATTAGTTAGTGGCTGCACAACCACAAAGCAATTGCTGTTCGTTCAAAAGATGATAATGCACTATCCGTATGCCAGTCCCTGATTAGGTGCTGGGGGCACAGCAGTAAACAAAACAATAGCTGTCCTCATGGAGCTGACGTGCAGAAAGAAGGCAAAGTTCAGAGTGCCATGATTGTTCTTTGTTCTTTTGAGATCAGATTGCTGGGCACAAGGGCAGAAGAAGGGCAACATCTTCAGAGACTGCATGGTAATCTAGGCATGATGGTGGCCTGGACCAGAGACTAGGAGGGATTGATAAAAAGAGAGGTCGTATATATTTTGAATGCAGAGCTGACAGGATTTGCCATTAACCGAGATGAGGGCATTCCAGTTGGTCTGGGGACATGTTAAGCTAAAATATGTATTGTGTCAATCACACAAGAAGTTTTGTTCTCCCTATTATTCCTAAAAGCCAGCTGTTTATGGCTAAAGACTCATTTTTCAGTCCTTCCCTATCAAGATGAATATTTATAGGTGCCCATTGTTATACTCAACAAGGGTGAACTAAGAGTTCTCAGTCCTGGTCCTCATATGCCAGCTACTCACACAAACCATTAGGAGACAAGTCTAAGAAGTGAGCAATCCATGTGGCATACAATAGGTAGAGAGTGCTTCACAATAAAGGCAAGCCTTGAGCTTAGCCTTGAAAAATGGGTAGGATTTAGATGAGTGTCATTACCCAGGAATCTAAGACAGAGGAATCAAAACTAGAAGGCGGCACAGCACGGAGGTGAGAAAAGGAAAAAATAACTGTTGTGTCCGCTATAAGTGTGTATGTAGGAATCTATTTGGATGTATGTGGAAAAGTCACATCTTCAAAGCCAGATGATTCATTTGATAGAACAGGCAACCAGAAGACCCTGTAACTTCTTGAGGAGGAAACTGACATGATGAAATATCGGGTAGACAATGTTCAGCAACTGAGAGCTGGACCAGATCTTGTGCTTGCTCCTGGAGACTCATAAATGAATAATACATGGTCCTCGTGTTCAGAGGTCTCATGAGTTATTTGGAAGATTAGTCAAGTACACAGAAGATCACAGTAGAGTGTCCTAACTGTTCTGATGGAGCTAAGCCGAGAGAAGCCCCTGTCCAGCCTGGGGGGTAGTCATGGAGAGCTGCCTGAGAGAGGGGACATCTCACCTGCGTGATGAAGAATATGTTGATTAAAGGTAGGGCATGCTAGTCCTGGTGTTAAGAGTTAGTTGGCAGCTTCTGGTTGGTTAGCCTTAAATTTCATTTTTCTTTAATACAGGCATTTATAAGAAATAGCTCATGTTGGCCAGGCACAGTGGCTCATGCCTATAGTCCCAGAATTTTGGGAGGCTGAGGTGGGTGAATCACAAGGTCAGGAGTTTGAGACCAGCCTGGCCAATATGGTGAAACCTCGTCTCTACTAAAAATACAAAAATTAGCTGAGTGTGGTGGCACACCCCTGTAATCCCAGCTACTTGGGAGGCTGAGACAGGAGAATCTCTTGAACCTGGGAGGCAGAGGTTGCAGTGAGCTGACATTGTGCCACTGCACTCCAGCTGGGGCGACAGAGTGAGACTGTCTCAAAAAAAAAGAAAAGAAAAAAAAAGAAATCACTCATGTTCAGTTTTGCTTATGTTTGCAGATCAAGCAAGGTTAAGGTGACTTATGAAACCTAACTGGCTTTTTCTGCCCAGTGATTCTTCAGGCCTAATTTCCATTTTAATTTACTTTAACAATTGTTATGACTGAACTGTGTCCTCTCAATGTTGATATATTGGGGTCCTAATCCCTGGTTCCATAGCATGTACCTTATTTGGAAGCAGGCTTGTTGCAGATGTGGTTAGTTAAGATAAGGTCATGCTAGAGTAAGGTGGGCCCTGATCCAACATGATTGATGTCTTCATCAAAGGGGGAATTTGAACACAGGCATGCACACAGGGAGAACACCACATAAAATGAAGACGGAGATCAGGGTGATGCTTCTGCAAGTCAAGGAGTTCCAAAGATTCCCTGCAAACTTCCAGCAGCCAGGGGAGAGGCTGGGAGAAGAGCCTTCCTCACATCTCTCAGCAAGAACCAAACCTGCGGGTGCCTCAGTCTTGGACTTCAGGCCTCCAGAACTGTAACACAATAGATTTCTGCTGTGTAAGCCACTCCTTTGTGGCTCTTAGTTATGGCAGCTCTAGCAAAGTAATGTAAGATTTAAAGGAGTCATTGCCTATAAAACATTTGGAACAATACCTTGCATGTAGGAAGGGCTCAATAAAACTTAACTATTTTTTTTTTTTAAAGGTAAGGCATTCTAGAAGAATAAATATGTGAGAAGTTGGGAAGTCGGTCAGCATTAGTGGAAGCTAGCATGGCAGGTTGTTTGTGTGCAAAGATAAGGGCAGAGAAGTGTGTGGATACTGGACTGTTCTAAAGTTGGAACTGGGTCTTGTGCTCAATGCCCAGCACCTACCATTGTGCCTGACTTAGAGCAGGCACTCACACGCCTGTAGAATAAATCATGAAATCAATCATGAAATGCTCCACACGCTATGCCAAGGACTTTGGCCTTGACAGTATCACTCACTTGCCCCCAGAATAAACGTTGTGTTTCACAAAGATACATCCCAGCCAGGCACGGTGGCTCACACCTGCAATCTCAGTAATTTGGGAGGCTGAGGTGGGCAGATCGCTTGAGGCCAGGAGTTCAAGACCAGCCTGGCCAACATGGCAAAACCCCATCTCTTCTAAAAAAAAATATATACCTCCCCCACACGCACAAAAAAGAAAGATACATCCTATAGCAGCATAGAAAATGGATGCGATGATGGCAAGTTGTGAGGAGGGAGGCATTAGGCAGCGGCGGCAGAAATACAGGTAAGAGAAGAGAGAAGACCAAGTCAAGGTAGTGAGGTTAGTTCGGGAAAAGTCAGCCTGCAGTGGGGAAATGTGTTAGAAGCCATAGCAGGTATCTTAGTTGATGGGGTCAGAGTCTGCACAAGCATAACATGAATGGACCAGAGAGGAAGAACCTAGATAACATCTGAAAGTAAGAAACAAATCTTTTCTTACTTTTGAGAGCTTATACTGAACATGAACTAGAGAAATGCAATATTCAGGTTTCTGGTCCGGAAATCAGGAATGATGATTTCAGCAACATAAACGGGAGATGAGTTTCAGAGGATTGGTCCTTCCTGTTTTGGGGGGTGGGTGTTGAGATTATGTCCCAGAATAAGCTGGTAAGATAGAAATGGGATAAAGAGAGATTTTGCTTAGGGAGTTGCCCATACAAAAGAGATAGGACTTATGAGAACAGAAAAGCTTTCCAGAAGGAAGAAGTCTAGACAGAGTACTAAGTACATACTCTGGGATGAAAATAAGCCAAGAATGTTTAAAATGCTGTGTGAAATGAAAAGTATCCATTACTGGTCAGCTAAAGTAACAATGGCAGGGTTCTGTACTATGTAGAAGTATCTGTATATGTAGAGAAATTTCTCAGCAAAGAACGTCATGAAGTATGGATGAAATATAGCATAGTATGGCTGGCAATTCTTTGTGAAATTTTTCATGCAATTATAAATCCAAAGAAACTAGAAATGCAGTATACTTGAATTGTTACCAGAAGCGAGAACCTTCTTTACAGGTATGCAGTAATCAATTAAGTGACACTGTGTGTGTATATACCTTGCCACTGATTATTAAGAAGAACAAAACTAAAATTTGCAGATTAGGAAGCAGACATCAAATTTAGATGACTCTCTAAAAGTCGTATGGTTAGGATAGTATTTTTCTACCTTTAGTTTCTTGCATTTTTAACATTCTTTAAAATTTCTGTGTGGAAGCAGCAATCTGGTCTAAACTTCTGCCATACCACTTACTAGCTATCTGATTTTGAAGAAATAATGTACAGTGTAGTCAGGACCTAACGATACCTTACAGCGGTTTCTCATCTATGAGACTCATTGAGTCTCAGCTATGTTTTCTCAACATTCAGCATACACCTGTATGAATGGTCTGGCTGTGTAACTGTGAAAGCTTCTTACAGACTGTGAGTCTCGTTTTCTACATATACAAAATGAAGAAGATAATTCCTACTTATAAAGTTGTTGTGAGAAATGAGTGAAGTGCTGTACCCTCTAGATTCTCCATCAAAAGCCATATTAAATGTTCGCTACATGTTAATCCCACCCCAGTGGGGGTTCCAGAAAGGAAAGAGTAGAGCCAGGAATGATCCTTCTACGACCCAAGAAAAATGCAGCTTGAAATATACTTGTTGTCTAACTCTGTTAACACTAATATCAGACAAGGAAATTTAAAATCTAGTGCCACAGATGTTTCCAGAGAGCTAAAATGTCCCCAAAGATATAATGGTAAATAGAAACCAGGTTGACATTAATATACAAAACCATCGTTAGGAATAATAATCCTGAACAAGACCCAAAGGACTTACAGCAAAAAGAACATAAATTCAAAAGACCTTATAAATCAGAGCAACTTTTGTTTAAAAGCTCCTTTTTGCCTCACCGAAAACTTACCTCTAAGTATTATGT